TTCAAAAGTTTGTATTCAATTATATACTCGTGAGAGTTTTCTTTATCATGTACTAAATACTGCTTTACGTAATAATGATCATTCAAAACTGAATACACTTGGGCCACTTTGTTTTCTAATGCGTGATTATTCACGTTCATGTACTGAGTTTATTGGAACAGTTTATCGAGGAGTACAACTGCCATTCGCTACTATCGAGTCTTATAAACAAGCAATAGGTTCTTGGCATACGTGGTCTAGTTATACATCAACAAGTAAAGACAGAGAAATGGCTGAATTTCGAGGAAATACATTGTTTATTATCGAAATAACTAATATTAAACTGAGTGTTCCACGTGCTTATGATGTGGCAAGCATTTCACATTTTCCTAGTGAAGAAGAAGTACTTTTACCAGCTGGAGTTTCTTTTCAAGTTATTAGCGTCGAACAAGATCTACAACAAAAATATATTATTTATATTAAACTTTGACTATAACCTTTCTTAAAAACTGAAAATATAAAATTCTAATCAAGAATGCTATATAATTTTTCTTTTACAAAGAACAAAAATATATTCAACAATCTTTTTTACATCAGGAACCTCAATGACTTGTGTATTTAGTTGTATGTTGAAATAAAAATTTATAAACAGCTACATTCGTATGTTACCCTCAAGTGAAACAATCTCTCCAAGAGAAAGATATGATCTAACCCTCTGACACACAGCAAATAATAATAAAAAGCATAGTTAGCGTATTTATTTGACATCAATCTTCTAAAGAAATTGCAGAGAAAAAGTAAATAGTTTCAAATATGTTGAGTTTTTATTTAATTGTTTAAATCGTAACAAATATATTACTTATCACGATTAACTGTCTCATTTTGATCCAAATCCAAATCGGTGACAACATAATAGAATAAGTACAGTCGATAAGATTCCACTACTACCACCAATCAAATTTAATATTGTTAAAAATTCTGCACGTTCACATTTAACTGGATTATGAATATAATGCACAGAAAAACCGATTTGTGTTATACACACACTAATTGTTATTAGAGACACAATACCGAGAAGAATTGTTTTACAACAACACATTTTTTTACAAGAAAAATCTTCTAATGTTAGATATGATAATAATAGAAGATTCGTATTGACTTACCTGTAGTTTAAATAAATATATGTGATGAGTAAGAATTTGTTTTTATCTTTTGTTGTTGTTCTGTTTTCGAAAAAAAGATCTTCTCTTTCAATATCAAAGTTAAATCGATAAGAAGATAAAGAATTTTGTTTCAATTGAGTATATTCATCAATTGAAATTATATTTTAATATTTCTCTTAAACATTGATTAAAAGATGTTTCACAATTCTTATCTGAGATTTTATTTGGATAAAATTCTTCGCACTCTTCTTCATACTCATAAAATTTGTTTTTAAATAAAAATAAAGGAGTGGAAGTAATGGTCTTCTTCTCGAGACGTATTCGAACTGCAATTCTAAAAAAACGAATGGGAAGTTCGTAACTTAATTTATCAGGAGATTGTAGTAGATTTACTGTGATATTTGTAGGGGCTATAATGAATTGTCTTCCTTTTTTTAAAATTAAGAATAAATGAACAACTAGTAAACATTTAACGTCTCTAAAAGAAAAACAAATATGAACACAATTAAAATACTCTGCCTTTCGGTTATGATCGTCAATCAAATTTCAGAATTTTATCTCTTAAAAAAACAATTATTGCTGAAAATCGTAATAAGAATTTGATGTGAAATGCCTGTTTTTCGTTTGGATATCTCTCTACATAAAAATTCAGTTAAGACTTTTCGATAAAGGTTGAAGAATATATTTAGATAAAGAAAACAACTTAGAGTGATCGAAATAGTATGACTGGATAAAGCACTTATCAATTTAGTTAATCACACGAGATACATAAAAACATTTAATTGGTTCGATCTTGGTGAGTGTTTATGGACTCATTGAGAAAAAATAAAGTGAAGATCAAATTTATTATGGAAACAGACATAGGAATTAATACGAAGCAAGAAAGAATTTTCATACAATGATAACAATATAGGACAAATAGTTATAAGTAGAAATTTAATTAAAAATAACTAAATAAAGTGTGTAAATGAATGAACAATGATGAATGTAGTCATAACATATAGCAATAGTTAGAGTTTTAACGAGTGAAAATAATAAATAATCATTTCTAATCATGTCATTCTCAAACTGTTTTACTGCTCATTTTTAATTCCTACATTTTTTTATTTTAAATATTTTAAATGTTCACTTAATTAAGAATACAAGAAAACTTGAATATATTTTCCATATTGGAAGAATAGAATGTCTAATGAAAATCTATCTGAATCTATGCCTTTATTCTTTCTGAGCTTAATAGATGTCATCAACTATCATCATTATTTGAATATTAAATAAAAAGTATAACAAAGAATTATTTATCTTCATTGATTATCTTATTAAATAATACGATTAATAGAACGATTTTATTGATTTTTCAATATATTTATCTAATTTTGTTTCATTTTATTTCAAAAATCATAGATTTAAAATTGAATTTTTAGTTATTTAAGAATTATTTAGTTTATTATTCAACGATGACTTGTCTAATTAGATTATTCAAATAGTAAACAAATATTTCGTCGAGTAGAAATAAATTTTTCTCTTCACTCTTGACATATTGATACTGTTTTGGTCAACTGCTTCCTAATTTTAACCAAGTATCGATTAGTAACCAAATTCAATGATAATCTTGTTAGTATCTATAATAATTTATTAGTTTGTTACTTTCCACTGCATGTATTTGGAATATGCATGATGCTAATGTTTTAAAATTTGCCTTGTATGAATAACAGTGTTGAAGGATATAATAATTCAATGGATAATATCTTTTATACACATCCACAAGCTTACAGATTTACTGAATTACTCTTAATGCAACATGATTTCTGACAGCACAAAAAATGAAAAAAATAGTAATGATATTGATGTTCAATTAGTTTCGTTAATTGAAGAGCATTAAGAAAGAAAGACGTCTGGACTATAACTATTAATAAGCCATGAGTAGGCAGCTAACATAAACTAGTCAAATAATTTAGTAATATTATTGATATAATCTTTTCTCGTTTTCAAATGTGTAGACAAAAGATTAAAGAGAAATATCGATAGCACTCTGTTATGTTGTTAATTTCACATAGACTAAACGAATTTGATACAAAAAGAATATAAACATTTATTTTTATTTCAATTTATTAAATTACCCACCACCATATATATATAAATGATTATATATCACAAAAGATTAAATAAAACAAATGAAGAAATAAAAGAAAATAAGAAAAAGATTAAAAACGAAATAATAGTATTATACAATACAAAGCACTCTCACAAAAATGTAGTTCGTAACATTAACAAGTTTCTACAAGAATTTTTAAGTTATCACTGCCTTCGTTCACAACAGCAAAATCCAATTGTTTATCATTATTCAAA